AATATGCAAGTGCTTTAGACATTACAATACTTCTCCTGCTTGGTGCCAATCCTGTGATCCTTGGAGAACAACTCAGGAATGGACAAGTGGAAATGAAGAAATTGATAGTTTCATTAAAGAATACCAATTCACAACTGTGGAATATGAAAAGGTGATTGAATGGATTCCATTCAATAAGCTAATTAATTTACAAGAGATTAAAGAAGAATCAGATGTTGTATTAATGGCAACATGGGTCAAAGGTATACGAACAATTAAAGGTGATTCTGGGAAATATACACAGTCACGCACTATGTCATCCGTTGATCTTATAAAATTTAATCAAACGAACACTTTAAATATTTTAGTAAACGTAAGTTAAATTTATTTATACATGGGCTAGGTGCTGCAGAAAGGGGAAGACGACAAAAAAAAGATCTTAGGAAGGTCAACATTTATGTTATAAATTTTATAATAAATCATAAGAAAATACAAATTTTAAAGAGCTATACTACAAAATTTTAGTAATACGACTGTTTTGTTTTTTAAGTTAAAAATGACCCTAATCTTATTCTAAATTGATTTGTGCAAAAAAATGAATTTTTGAAAATTTGTCGATTTCCCCTTTTTGCAGCACTCAGCCCATATATTAGTCTTTATTGGAAATAGTAAAATACAGTTTAACTAATTATACATATTATCTAAGTTTAAGGTTCATATGCAATCAAAGAAATATAGAATCCCATGGAATAACTCAGAATATTGAAACTGGTCAATACATGATTGTAATGGATTTTTATAATAACAAAAGAAAGACCGTTAATGGAATATGCGAGCATTGTAAACGATACAACACTAATCCAGCTTGGTGTCAATTGTGTGATCCCCCAAGAGTGGTCCAGAAAACAAGTGGCGATAAGGACATAGATGATTGCATTAAGGAATTTCAACTTAAAGCTACGACATTTGAGGATGTTATTGAATGGATTCCATATAATAAACTATATAATATAAAAGAGATTGGTAGAGGAGGGTTTGGTATAGTATATTCTTCAACTTGGTTAGATGGTAAACGAATGGTCGAAGGTGATAATGATTTGGGTTATGCACGATATCTTAAAAAATCCTGTGAAGTTGCTCTTAAAACATTGCCTGGTTCTCAAACAAGTTCTTCCGAGTTTTTAAATGAGGTAAGCCAAAATTATTTGCTTACCGTATTTTGGTGTAATAGTGCACGAATGTACAATACTTTATTTATGATGCGTATGTGCGATATTTTGAATTATTTTTGATAATTTTTGTGTAAAAAGCTATTTATAGTGATAGCAATTTCTCATGAGGAGTCGTTATTTGGGGATGCATATAGGCGTTATTTTGAGTCAAATGTTATTGCTTTTCAAAATAGTGAAATTTCAAAATAACGCTCTTGTGCGTTACTGCATACAAATACAGTAATTATAATCTTACTAAATTTATTAATATATTCTTACTAAATTTATTAACATATTCTCTCAAGTTTAAAAATCATATGCAATGTAGATTAGAAGGTAGTGCCCTTGAAGTATACGGATTGACTCAGAATATAGAGAATGGTCAATATATGATGGTATATCAATATGCTAATAGAGGAAATCTTCACGACTTTTTAACAAAAAATTTTAGAGAACTTGTGTGGCAAAAGAAATTAAAACAACTTGCAGATATATCACATGATTTATTTCGAATTCATGGAACAGGACTTATTCTTAATGACTTTCACAGCTGTAATATTTTACTAAACCAAGATATCAATGGAAATATTAAATCATACATTACGGATCTAGGATTATCGAGAAAAAAAGATGAGAATGATTCAAAACAAGCTGTTTATGGAGTTATGCCATATATTGCTCCAGAAGTTCTCCAGGGTTGTCAACACACACAAGAGGCAGATATTTATGGCTTGGGTATTATTATGACAGAAATAACAACCGGGAAAAGGCCTTATGACGATACTAAGCATGATTTTGAGCTTGCATTAAAAATTTGCAATGGATTACGTCCAAAATTTGCCGAAGGAACTCCTGATTGCTATATTGATTTAGCGAAACAATGTATGAATTCAAATCCACAAAATAGGCCTACTGCTGAATATGTTCATTTAAAAATTAATCAATGGAAAACAATTTTAGAATCAGAAAATTTGATAGATGAAGGAGAACTTTATATAAAAGAGAAATTCATTGATGCTGATAGTATAATTAAACAAACATCACTAAAATCTTTATCAATGCTTCAGAATAAATATTATAGCACATTAATAGATGTACAAGAAATACCGAAGCGTCTTAAAGGTACCAATAGGACTGCAATTACTTTACATTGTTAATACATTTAATGCATTGGTATTAAATATTAATTTATTATTTTATTATTGTTTACTTAAGGTAGCCGCTCTATTTCGGAAATTTATATTAACGATTATGTTAGCATAATTTGAAGGTTTGCAATTTAAAAAAAAAATTAACGCGCTAATATTTTTTGCGTTAGTTCTCAATCTAAAATTGTTAAAATTTGTAATCTAAAAAACAAATATTCTATTTCATAATTGTTAACAATGTAAATTTTTACCTTTTATTTTTATGCACCATTACATAAATCGAAATATCATGTAAAATGCATTCATGTTGCTTTTCTGATAACTAAAATTACTTTTAGAGATTTTTTAATTTATTTGAAGATTTATTTGAGTCATTAATGTGCTTGTGTAAGAAACTACAGTAGATGTTAGATGGAAAAAAATATTTTTAAATGATTTAATACATTCTGACGCAATCATAATTACATGGATAGCATTTATTTATTTAACAAATTTCGTAAAAATAAAACTTTATCGTTATCTCTTAAAATATAAAATAATGCTCCGTGGGAGACCTCCATTATAAGAAATTCGGTCGAACTTTTCAAAAGTTACGGAAGCTGACAAACTTGGTCGAACTACACCTAGCCAAAAGTGTAACTACTGTGGAAAGGACTCTATGAGTTTAGTCGCTCGATTAAAGGATTATTTATATAGATCCAAAAAGTATGAAAAATTTATTAAATAATGATACTCAAGCCTCTGATTCAAATGAAAATAAATAAATAACATTAACCAAATTAGGTGTGAATCGTAAATTAGAAATATATATATGTCCTATGATCTGCATAAATTTTAATACTTATTATATACTATTTATATACATATAGATCATCTTTTAACAACTACAGGTTCTAAAAAATATGTAGTTCGAATGTTACTTATTAATTTTATAAAAGGTTGTATTGTAGTCTTTTTTTTTTACTAAAATAAATTATGAATTATTCTTTAAAGATTCTTTAAAACAAATGAATATTTTCATGCTAAAGTCAATTAAAAACAATTTAAATTTTTTATAAATTTTAATTATCTATTCTGACTTAAAATCGTATATATATTTAGCGTAAAAGAATGACAATTTTATATTAAATTACGGAGATGGAGATGGCTAAAAGCGAACAGGCTAATCAAACAATAACGAGAATGAAATTTTATTAATTAAAAAGTTATTGTTATCGTTATTTTATTTGCATGTTTTCATTTTCTACTGCAATGCTAGTGCTGGTTAATTAAATAATATCTTGTTTGTAGTAATGAACCTTAAGTGAATCAAAAATAATGCAGACAAAATTTAGTATTAGAAAATCATAGTGACGGTAAACATGCTCTTTATATATACCAATTTTTAAACTCGTTATATATGTTCTATTGTAATGTTAATTTTGCAAATTATTCATCGCATCTTTCTAACCACTTCTTACATTTGTGTACTTTAATTATGATTGATTATAATTGCTTACCCATAAGCTAGCCCTTTTCGATCTGTTATGCACCCCTACCCAGCACATAACCATCGTAACCAGCCATTTTCTTGTTACGTCCGTATAGTATAGAACTTCAGGTATGCAGTCTAAGATCGGTTCGATTTCTATTTCAATATCAATAACTAACATTATATATTCTTTCAGTGAGAACATGTTAGCGGATTTTTTGAAATATGTCAACTCTAATTCCATATAAATCTGTTATGGCCCTTACCCCGCGCGTAACTGTCATAACCAGCCATTTTCTTGTTACGTCCATATGGTATAGAATTTCAAGTATGTAGCAATGATGAAGATCTAAGATCGGCTCCATTTCTTTTTTAATATCAGTAACTAACACTATATATTCTATTCAGCAAGAACTCTGATTCCATAATAATAATGACTACCAAAATATATTTCAGCAGCACAGTCAAAGATCGATAGATTTTGATAATATTCAAGCGCTTTATTTTCGTTCTTCTCAACGCCCATTCCATTTTGTAACAATACCCAAGGGATATATATTGCAATAGTGTTTTGTATTAGTTGATTTTTTTTGATAATGAATGAACAAAGCATGTTTATTCTTTTTAACTCTTCAATAACGATAAGGCTATTTATTTAGCTATCGCTTCTATCTCTGCTTAATAAAGCCTTGAGTTTCTCTCTATAAAATTTTATAATGAACGTGCTATATTTTTCCTTTATTGTAAGTGATTTTTGTCGTCTAATTTTTTGAATTTAAAGATACAAACTGAAATTTTTAAAAAAATTAAACCAATAATCGAAAAGAACCACATGCACATAATCTGATCGTTGGTTGGATACACTTAAGTGAAAGTTTCTAAAACGTTGTTGAGATTCTAAAATTTTAAAAATTTAAATAAATACTATTATTACAAAATATTTATAGTAGTAATAATAAATAATAGGCTACCTTAAAATTTTAATATTTCGTATTATCATCTTTTTATGTGCTATCCAACAGAAGATTTTTAATATAATATCAATATAGAATAATTAATGATTATATTAATTAAACATAATAACGGCAATAATAATATAAGCCTTACTTTCTTTTTAACTAATCGAATTATAACAGTAATAGTAAGTAATTTAATATAAAAAATAATTCTGAGTAGTTGAAAAATTGATAAAATAATAAAGTACGCCATCCAGTTCTCCTTGAGGGGTTTTAAAAAAAAAATTTTGATAAAATAATTGATATTGACATCATTGTACCGTCAACAAAATATTATTTCAATTATTACTCTTTTTCAAATAAAATACATTCAGAAGACTAATAACAGAGATTACCTTTTTTATTGATTTGTCTTACTTCATTTATTGTTACGATTATTTTTCCAATAAGTTCGCATACGTTGCATATCCCAATTTTGACTATAACCTTGAAACTTTCTTAGAATTTCAATAGCTATGTCTTCAGGTAAAGAATCATAATTAAGTATATCCTCAAGTATTTTTTTTCAATATTAGTAGTATGTCTACATTGACACTTTACGTGCTGTCTGCTATCACCAGATTGTTGTCTTACCTCCTCATTCTCAACCTGATTACTTTGTGACGATTGAACCTGATTATTGTGTAATGGTTGAACCTGATTATTTTGTGATGGTAAGCCTAATTTATGTACTACTACATTTTTTTTTTTTGATGTCCTTTTGTTTCATGTTCTTCAATTTTGCATACATCTTGATGTAAAATTGGCTCAAGCCAAGCTATACCTTTGTCATAACATGTTAGCATATTATAAAACCCTATATTAGTCATTTCTTTTGCTTCTATAAATAATTCATGTATTTTAGGGTCAGTTGGAGAAAAAACATCGAACAATTCATTTGCCAACTTCCACAATAATTCTTTTTGTGGTTGCACAGTTTGATCATCTTTAGCTGCAATAATCGTATCACCCTAATATCTTGATAATAAAAGTTCCAACCTTTTTCTTTCAGTTTGCACTGAGCTCATTTGCAACTTTAATTCTTCAGTATCCATAGTTCTTTCGTCAATTTTTTGCTTTATTAACAGGACTCTAAACAGTTCAAGTGCCTCATCTAATGATACAGGCCGATGCCAAACCTCAGGCTAGTCGACCGGGCTGACTATTCTATAAAAAATTTTTCATCTAAGAAACTATAATTTAATATATTGTGATGAATAAAGAGAAATGTAATTGATAAATTATAGTAAAAAAAAACAAAATATATAATTAATAAAATGGTATAACAAATTAATTAATATTTATTATTTATTTGCTTAAGTGCCTTATATATTTTATTATTTATTTCATTTTATCTATATACATTTTCTTATTTGTTAATCTATTTATTTTTGCCTATCTATTTGTTATATTCACTTACCCACTTCTCACTATGAATTAACCAAGCCTCTCTTATAATATTCACTTATCTGCATTATTACAATTAATTATTCCAACATTCATCTATTAACTATTATATATGCTTACTTATTATATTATAGCTGTTTTAAGTAGTCTTCTTATTGTAATTATAATTTGTTAGTAACCAAGATATTGCACAATTATTAATTAATTGAAATTAATTGAAGTGATTTATAACATTTTACCAAAAATCATTGTGTAAATTATGAATTTTAAATTTTAATTTTTTAAAATAATTTTATGACCATTTATTTATTAATTTTACCTGATTACATATATAGTACGGTAATAGTTTACAATTAAATAAAAATAATTATACTAAAAAAAAAATTAATTTACAGTATTATCTAAAAAAATTGATCTTATCTACATCACTGCACTTTACCTAATCAATTATCATAAGTTATACAATAAATTCCTATTGGATAAAAAAATTTGAATATATTCTAGCTGAGCTAATTTATAAAGTGTGAATCAAGAGCTGACCCACCCACCTGCCTGGTTGATGGGCCATGGTTAGCTTATATCACTAGCCTCATCAATTGCAAAAAAGTGCTCTAGGCATATAAAATTTATAGAATATACCTAATATAGCAATTCTTGAAGATATAGATTTTTATTAATACAAAATAGAAAGTATATCACAGATCTAGTATCGTTAACATTTCCTGCAACAGCAAAAAAAGGTGAGAATTTTGCAAGGTTTTTAATTTATATTTTATAATTACTCTGATGAATACCAATTTTGTGTTTAACCCAATACCCAGTCTAACAAAAAAA